GTACCACACTAGCTATGAGTAGAAAGAAGAAAGATACAGAAGAAAACCAACTTGCACATAAAATCATGATGTCAAAGAAAGAAAAGGAACGAGCTCATCATTTCACGCCCTAGTCTTTCATTTCTCTCCTTTTTTTTGTAATGAGCCTAGAGCCTATAATTGGTTTGGTTGACATATAACTAGATCAAGAACGGATCTTGGTTCAGAAGAGACAAAATTTAAGATGGGACAAGCTGGTACAGCTATTGTATGATTACTTATAATATCAACGCTTTGTTTTCATTTACGAACATAGTGTAGACACACACACACACACTATATATATAAATATATCAGTCCTATATATGCTATACTAATTAGACGAGTAGACATACCATATATGAAGAATGAATCTCGTTGTAATCTAGTGAATAGTAAGAAGGGAATTCAAGATATATATGGTAACTTAATAATAGGTGGAACATCAGATTGGAACATTTTTTTTTAATATTTTTCCCCTAAAGTTCTAAGCTTATAAAGGGTAAATGTTAATGCTTTTGATGGATGCTACAAAAAGTATTAATCTTGTATATATATATATATATATATTAAGAGTTAATAAAGATAAATAGATTGCTTTTAATCATTAATAATTAGCACGAGTTTTGTGATCTTACAAATACCTTAAACTAGTAACCTTCTTAAGCAGCTAGTCATATAGGACTTAGTCTTAGTTTGGTATTGCTTTTCTATCATAAAATCAGCTTCTGCTTGTAGCAGAAGTTAATTTTAGTGTTTGATAAATCTTCTAAAAAGTGATTTCTGAAGAATTTTTTAAAAATTTACAGCAAAAATCAAAAACAACCTAAACACAACTTTAACTTTTAAATTGTGTGGAAATCAACATAGTACAATTAATGAAACTTTCATAATACCTATAATACCCCTAATGAAATTTAAAATTTACAATCTTTCCAATCTAAAATTCAGACTCATAATATAATATAATATAATATTATAACAAATAATATCATAATTATATTAATAACTCTAATATTATTATTTCATCATATAATATGATATTATAATAATATTATAATTATTTTAATAATATGATATTATAATTATAAT